ATCAGAAAGAAGAGGAGACAGCAGGAAGGAAAAAGAAAAGTTATACTTCTTTGGGTGAAGACTCAGAAGAGTGCAGTCTCCATGTGCTACCTCACAGAAGCTCTGCCAACGTCTACATGGAGAAGCAGTTTCTTGAAAGGAGGATGTGTGTATTATCTCATTAGGGGAATAATTATTGAAGAATAATTAGCCTGCCTGTCTCTGGATCAGTCTTCCTGAGTGGAGGAGGCCACAGTATATCATGGTCTAATTTTAGAGCACTTTACATAGCCCATCACCACCCAGGGCCAGGGGTGTTCCCTTTTTTGACGTCAAAGCAGTGGTGAACCTTTTCATGTTACAAGGGAAGGGAAGGTGAGGTCCAAAACCTCGATGGCCTCTAAGGCTACATAAATTTCCTCCTCAAGAGCAGAGAGCTTAAAATTGTTTAAGAACCAGAGCCTGCATATATATGGCATTTCTGACCTCCACCCAAGACAAGACCAAGGACATTTTGACTTCTGGTCAAAGACAGGAATAGAGGCCCCATCCCATTTTTTAAATTTCCTGTCCTCATCAGTATTTAAAAAAAAAAAAAAAAGCACAAACATATAAGAGTTAGAATTCTTTGTTGTTAGCTTTACACTCAGAATCTTGGCTGACATGACAGTCTATCCTTGAATTAGCATTTGTTGAAGTTTTTAGTGTTTTAAAAACATTATGTCACCACACTTTTAGATTTTTACTTTTGCATTCAAGGATTCTGTAGCTTGGCTTCTGTTTTGATTTTGTGTGGATGGCTACTGAAAGGACATGGCGAGGATGAATTTGCAGGAGCATTAGTTTCATGTCATTCTTTTCTAATTAAGCTCTGAGAGTCTAATTAAACTGTGATAACATATTACTATCTTGTACAGATTTGAGGACATGCTTTTCAATTCTACAAAAGAATAATAATACATCACTCTCAAATTTGGGCCAGTTTGGATTGTCATATCAAAGAAAAAAATCTCTGGTTATTTCAAGAGTAAACACAGTCATAAAATTTACTGAGGATGGAAGATAATACTACCATCTTAATAAAATTAAAAGAGTAATTATGTTCCTCCAATAGAGGGGGATGCTAAATCCAAAGAAAATAGTGTGAACTTATTTAAAATGGGTATCATAGATGTAAGGATTGTAAGGATTGAAACAGGAGGCTGGAGATGTGAGGAGACGAGTAAAGTGATTACTGCACGAAAAAGACCTGAGTTTGAATCCCCAGCAGTCACATAAAGGCAGAAGCTTCCGTACCTCCAGCTCTGGGGCAGAAGGGGTTACAGATACAGGAAGGACACCACCAGAGAAGACTGAGCAACCACTCTAGCCCAAACAGTAAGCTCCAAATTCAGGAGACTTGATCCCAAAGAAGTAAGCTGGAAATCAATAGAGCAAAACACCCACAGTCAACCCCTAACCTCCTCTACACATGTGTAACCATGAACACACACATACAACACACACACACACATACACACACACACTAACACACACACACATACACACACATACATACACACACACAAATACACACACATACACACACATACACACATACATACACACACACAAATACACACACATACACACACACAAACACACACACACAAACACACATACACACACACATACACACACAAACACACACACATACACACACACACACATACATACACACCATGCACAAATACACAATTATTTTAATTAAAATGTTATGAGGCAGGGAAGAAGAGGGCATGTGGTGGTAATTCTTTTATTGGTATCTGTGGCTTCATCTTTGAGTCTTATGTGGGGAGAAAGGGGGCAAAAAAAAGTTTCCAGTGAAGATTAAGAGCAAATATGAGCGTGGAAGTTACATGACTTCTCAGCAGGAATACTTTCTGGTTTCATCTCCTAACTAGGCACAAGGGGATTCAAAATGAGAAATGGTTGAGGCACAGCCAGAAATGAGTGAGGGTGTGGAGCACAGCACTCCCAATTCTGCTGGTGTTCTACTCACCACACCCTCCAATCTGGGCAGGATTCCCCCCACCCCTGCCTTAATTTCCCACGTCTACCCTTACAGAAACACAGACAGGAATAGTAACTGTGCCACCTGAATCAAATTAAAATTAAATTTAGCTTTTAGTATTAGTGGCACGGAATTGGGACTCCTGAACTCTTGAACATGGTATATAGCTATCAAAGTCAACTCAAAAGCTTGTCTGTGGGTATATAGAACTTGACTGGTCATAACTTCTTACAGGTAATTAAAATCTTGGTACCAAGGTTGTTGCTCAGAATACCTATGTAAGTATTTCTAAGTTTGGATTTGGTAAAACTAATTATAAATCTCAATTCTTCCTGAATCAGAAACTCTGATGGCAAGAGCCAAGAATCCATTATTCACTTACATGGTTCTTAAGCTACCAAAGTTTGTATTGCAATGTGTTCATTTTCCTTAATAATTGGAGTAATTAAAATCCTGAGACATTAAGTTAAACTAGATAATATGAAAGTCAAGAGCACTCAGGGGGAAAATAGATCCACGTCTAAATACTAGGTTCTTCAGCCCCAAAACATAGAAGAACCATTCCTTTTTTTTTTTTTTAAGTAAATGTTTTTTTTATCTCTGTGTGTCTTAATTTGGGCTCCCCAGAAAACAGGTTTTGACTCCAGGCTTTCAGGGCAAATGGATATTTGGAAACATTAGTAGAAAGAATGTAGACAGGAAACATAGTGATAAGGAAAGAAAATGAATGATTACAGATTTTGAAGCCCACTACCTTGCTAGATGTCATCATTTGAGTGAAAATGCCCTCTAATAGGCTCATATGTTTGAAGGTTTGTTTCCCAATTGGTGGACTGTTTAAGGAGGATTAGGAGGTGTGGCCTTGTTGGAGGAGGTGTGTCACTGAGCATGGACTTTGAGAAAAGTCATAACCATTCTCAGTCTCCATCTCTCCCCTACCCCTGTCTCTGCCTCTTGCTTGTGGATCAGAGGTAAGCTCTCAGCTACTGCTCCATGCCTGCCTGCCTGCCTGCCTGCCACCATGCTCCCACCATGAAGAACATGGACTCACCCTCTGAAATTGTAAGCAAGTCCCCAATTAAATACTCTTTTTTTAAGTTGCCTTAGTCATGATATCTCTTAGCTGTAGAATAGAACAGTAACTATGACAGTGCATAACTAAAGTTTAATTCCATTTGAAGATTCTGATAACAATATAGGACACGGAATATGGATTATTCCACTGTAGGAAAAAAGAATTTGGGTGTTCATTAATAAACAAATCAGTCATTGATTAATGGTTGCTTCCAGGAATATTCACTCCCCAACACTTGGAGCCTTTCCTTGTAGGGTTCACAGTGCATCCCAGCTGTCAGTGAAAGTCTCTTGAAAAACAGTTAAAGGGCTGGTAGTTGGAAGACAGAATGTTGGCAGCACTGAAGGGTAAGGTTATGTGAGCAGAGCTCTGACAATCTCAGTTTTCATCCAGGAGTTAGAAATAACAGTCACCCCTACAACCAAACTGTTGGAATTCCTACAGCACTACAAACATACCCCAAGTAACAGCTCAAATACATTTCTTGCAAATTCAGATTTCTTTTAGTTGAGGAATGGATCTTATATTAGCAATCTTAATGGATCTGTTTGACTTGGTGTTTCCTGAATGTCATTCTTGTCAAACTAATGTTAAACTTTCAGGAAGGAGCCCACAGTGGCCATCTAACTAGGCTTAGTATTGAGAATCCCCCTTGGCTGTTTTAAAAATCTTTTACAAAGGAACAATTGTTTTCCTGTTCTGGATATCCAGCTTCAACAGTTTTTAATTTAGGTATTTTAGTTTTGTCTCTTCCTACTTCATCAATAACTGGATCCAATAATCATTTCGTAACACTATCAAATTTCTAATAATCCTATCAAGCCCATAGAATTAGTATTGTTTTCTGTGGCTCTTGAATATTATTAGTAATGGGTTCTGTCTACATCTCTTGCATTTCTCAAATTATATTTTGTTTTAAAAAGACAAACTGGATCTTTTGCCCTCTGAAATTCTTCGCAACTAGAGAACATGTACATCTCCCCACTGTGGGGTGTCATTTACCACATCTCTCTAGGTAGTCACTATGCCTTGTGAAATGGTAAATTGACAGTACACTTGAGAGGATTGCAAATACAGGTTCATTTCTTTTTCTTTTGGGGCATAATTTACTTGTGTTCTTTCAGCAGTAGGATTGCAGTGCATGTCTGTCCTTTGCTGCTGTCACCAATTGATATTGGATTCCTTGACCAATCTAATGGTTATCTCATTAGAAACTCCAAGTGGACATGTTCCAACTGTTCTTCCTTTACTAATTGAAATACTTCTGTCAAGAAAAACTTAACTTTAAATTTACCTCCTCAGACCATCTGTACAAAGGGTAGATTTTTGCTCTCTCAACCTTAATTGTTAATGCTCTAGAGAATTTAAAAGACAAGGTTAGTGCTCTAGAGAATTTAAAAGACAAGATTAGACAGAATTTGTTCCTACCAAAAGCAACGTAATTTCCTGCTGTTCTAGCCAAAATTGCATGACTATATTCAAGTCTAAATCTTAACATGTAGAGTTGTGACTCTGGGAAGAACAAAAGAAGCTATTTACCTTTGTAAATTTTGCTTTTTTTATTCCTTAAATTACAGTTCTAAACTTTTCAAACAAGTGTGCAATTGAGTCAAGGTGAAGAATTGCACCTCCACATTCTTTGTTTCTCAGCCTCCAGAATTCCTAGTACATTAGGTATGGATCATTATGAATTAAAGGATATTTCATTTTGCATTTAAGAAGAGTTTGGTAGAGTTGTATTTGAAAAAGGAAGAACTCTGCTGAATGTGGTTTTTACACGGTGAACGCCCATGTGGTCATTTTCGGTGGTTTTATTTTTTAGTTCAGCTGTGGCTTGGTGTCTGTTGCTGCTAATGTCTGTGCCTCTTTTCCTCTTGCTCATTAATGGCGCAGCAATGTCAGACATCACCAGGCCAGCCTTGCAGTCGTACTCTCCTCCTAGACCTATGGTTCCTGTGATCCCTTCGCAAGAATTTCCACTCTGCTGTCTTTACAGTGAGAAGGTGAGTACTAATTGTGCTTGAACAGAGGTTGACAAACTACATCCCACAGGCCAAACCACCCTTCTACCTCATTTGATACAGTCTACAAATTTAAAGTGAACTTTGCCCACTTTGTTCCCAAAAAGGATTTATACTTTAATAATTTTTGTATTTTAATATTAAGGTCCTTGATTTTGCCTCCTTGAAAAAAAAAAACCATAAAATATTCGACATTTAGCTTTTTCAGAAAAGGTTCAGTGACTCACAAACTACAGTTGTGATTTTCAAATCATTTCCAGTAGCAGAATTAGAAGAGAGAAGAAGAAACATCCCATTCTAACCTCTGACTTAAAACAAATGAATGTATAATTATTTAAAAGGGCTTCATTTTTTTTTAAGTTGCTCACTAGTAAAGTTCAATCCAGAACAAGTGGGCTGCTTTGATGAGCATGATAGACTAAGGAAGGGGTGACAATTTTGACATTGGGGATTGTAGATGACAATTACAGTATTAGGGAAAAAAATCAGCCTACAATTTATTCTGTGGATATTTTTTTGTTGGAGTGGTTCAAAAATAAAATCCTGCTTCAAGCAGATAAGTGATTATAAATAGCAGCAATTTTTTTAACAGCTCACCTTGCAATCTTAGGACTTTCTGAAATTAAACTGATTCAAATACTTATAACAAGAAATAGAAATTTTTGATTTTACCCGCAATGTCAGAAACAGCTCTCATCATCAAAATGCAGCAATCAGGCAAGCAGCACCAACAATTTGGAGTGAGAGATAAAGCTGGGCATAGTCTAGCCTGCCCAGTGTTTGCTTGGGACGGAACTCCTGGCTGGTGGCTGTGAGGAGCAGGCACCCAGTGACGAATTTGCTGTTACAATCTTGTGTTGGTGGACAAAGAAGAGCTTGAGTTGTGAACAGAGGGAGGAAGAACTCCTTCTTGTTTGAAGTTTTTAACTTCAAACGTCTAAATAGGTGCATAAGTACAGCAGTTGAAGCTTATTAAAATCATGGTTGGATTAAAATTAGTGTAATTTACATTTTTTTGTAAATTACATTTACATTTTATAAGAGATTAGGGTCGATTTGAAAATACACTGAAAACCCAATAAAATTTACCCTTGACAATCCCGTATTTTTTTATAAAGTAGATTATCCATGGTCTTGGATATGCATTCCTATGCCGTACATTTTATCACACTAAAATTTAAGGACTTCAGAGCTCAGCTAGGACAAAAACATTTGTTTAGCTGTGTAGAAACACTGCCCTTAAGAGCACCCACCATATACTCACAGTTACTAGAATGTGGGTGGAAATTCCAAAATACTTGTTGCATTCTTACTTTAACTTCGGTTGAAATAGGTTATATTTGCAAGGTATCATGTTATTTAAGTTAATACAACAAGACAAACACTCTCAGATTGAAACAGATCTGGGACAGAAAGTGCTTGATGCAAATTCCTTATATTAGAATATTAAAATATAACTCAAATGTTCATGTGCACACAAACCATTTTGTATAAAGATCTAACCATGGCACTTCCACTTCAATGCTAGGGATTACTTTTCCAGTCCTTTATTCAGTAAAGATTCCTAAGCACTAGCTACATGGCACTTGTAGCACAAATCTTAAAAGGTCTTATTAATAAAAACAAATCCAGAGCCAGGTATTGGGGTGAATGCTGAAAGATCAGAGAAACAGAGCAAGCCACATCCAACCTTGCCAATTCCTCAGCTGATCATGTTTCCTCAGACTGAAAGCCTCTGAGTCCTCATCCGAATGGATCTCAGCTGAACTGCTGCTAAAAGCTAAAAGCTTACAAAGGCTCTAGTTCCTGATCCTCATGCCTTATATACCTTTCTGCTTCCTGCCATCACTTCCTGGGATTAAAGGCGTGTGTCACCATGCCTGGCTGTTTCCAGTGTGGTTCTGAACTCCTAAATGCTAGGATTAAAGGTATGTGCTACCACTACCTAAACCTATCTTTAATATAGTGGCTGTTCTGTTCTCTGACCCCTAGATAAGTTTATTGGGGTACACAATATATCAACCACAGGCACTGGGTGCTAGGAATTCTTATCTAGGTAAAGCAGACCAAAGTTCCTTGACTTTATTTCATGGGACTTACACACTAGTTGTGAATGACCAACAAAATGAGTGTGGTTTGTTGTGTTGGGGACATTGTAGACCTGGAACAGAAGAGGCCTTGACCTCATTCAAGTTTTCACACATTCTTGCAAAACAATGGAACCCATGGAGTTACAGCTTCTGTGAAAGCTGTGCTCTCTCATTTGAAGTTACCCACAGAGAGACATATACACATGCATGTGCACACGTGCACACAACATCCCTTCATGACGTAGAACTTTCAGGTGTGTCTGTTGACTTCCTGAGTATTAAACATGGCTAACAGCACCACTTGAGAAGTAGAGTTACAATCAAATGTTCCTAGAACCCCCAAGACCCTCTGATGGACCAACAGAACACAGGCTTGTCTCTTGAGTGAGAAGAGATCTGTCACTTGAAGTTCCAATAGTCCGTGGGGGTCAGAGTCTAGCTACTGATGCCTGACCGCTCTAGTTGTTCATTGGTTGGTTGTTGCTTTTTTTTTTTAATATTTATTCTGCTTTTCTTGTTAATGATTATCTCTTCATCCCATATCTAGCTGCTGCTTGCAGATGCTGCTGGCACCTGTATTGGGCAACATCCCCACGTCAGAGCAGATGAGTACCCTTCCAAGAGGCTAAAGTTGACACAATTTCCCTATCACTTGCAGTTTTACTTTGGAGGCAGCTCTATGGAACCTGCCCCCATTCAGGCTGGAGATCTTGATTATGCAACACAATATGAAAGCTTTTTTTTCTTTTTGTGGCAATGTTTTATTTATCTTCAGTACTTCTCCGTCCTCTTATTTCAAGCTGAGAGTCAACCTATTTGCTTCTCTTGATCCCAGACATTTTGCAGAGTTGGAAGTAAAATCTTCTTGAGAAAAACTGTCATCCTTAGCTTTGGTAAAATATTGCCTCATGAATAAGATCCTCTGGGCTCATTCCCAACAGGTAAGGAGGTAGATTTAAGGCCATTTGTAGTATATATAAATGGGACCAAGATTTGTGGGTCCCATGACCATTAGCTACTGTAGTCATTCCAAGAGAAATTGCCAGGACGTATGCACCCTACACTATGTTGTTATCTACAGAGACTCAAGACACATGAGGCAGAGGTTTGAGAGCCTCACGGTGTCAAAACATTTGTGCCAGCAGCAACCACTGTGCACAACATAACTTTAGGAGCATCCCAGGTGCTAGAGGCACAAGCCTAGAATTCACACAGTTCTAATGCCAGGTACATCCTGGAAATGCCTTGAGTTTCATTTTTTACCACCTGGAGACCTGAAGATGGAAAAAAATAAAATAAATATCAGCTGAATAGGAGAGTGTATGTTTTTAATCCCAGCACTCCATAGGTTGAGACAGGAGGATGGTGAATTCCAGATAGGGAGGTAGACAGTGAGCCTGCCTATGAAATAAAACAAAAGGAAAGATTGGAGGAAGGAGAGAGAGAAAAGAAAAAAAGACATGGTACATATATGTTGATGCATATCAAGCTTTATGCCATAAACATTTTCCCCATGTGTAGGCAGTAATAACTTCATTAAAATTAAGTTATTTTCTCAATACTATTTACATAAAATGTTAATAAATGCTGCTGTTGATTCAGTGTTTTTTTTTTTATTTCTGAACTTATTTCACATTCTTCAACCCAAGAATGTGACTAAAGCTGCCATTTATCCAACATAGATTTTCTGTTTCTTGATTTTATACTTTCAGGAAATTTCAAGTTAGAGTTAGTATGTATAAGATATTAGACTATTGTCTAAAAGATTAATTATTATCAAACACTAAAGTACTAAATGAGATCAAAGTCTGGTTTCATTTATTTAATGTATTTAATCCTTAGAAGCTGATACTTGGTTCTGGTGTCACACCTTTAGATCTGAGTGTGTGACGTTTTACATTATTCCTCTAATGCCAGTCAACCAGATATGTAATTAACTTGTGAAGCGTCTTAAGATTTATATATGATGTGAATTTAAGGAATGTTTCTCTGTCTCTGTTGCTGATAGCTGAAATGACAAAGAGAGCATTGATCTCATTGAGTTTCCTGAGGTTGCTACAGTAATTCATGACGTCAGTACATGTGAACGGACACTGGGAGCATTCTGCGCTTTTACATTTTTAATTATTGCATGACTAGTATCCTTTTAGGAAATCATACGACCTTTCTTCTGCAGTATTCCTGTTCGGTCTCTGTGACATAGGTGGAGCTGACTATCTTTAGCCATAGCAATGCTCTGGCCACCATTCAGCCTCAGTCATGTGACCCATGACCCTCCCAAGAGTGATTGCTGGAAGAACATTGCTTTCCTTTCTTTACGAACTTCTGGAGCCTCAGGCACATGGGGTCACTTCAGTCATGACAGTTAGAAAATGGAGCCATGTTGATGAGAGGAGCTGGATGTTTGGAAATCCAGCAGTGTTTGGAAACCCACTTTTTGGAATTTTTGTGATGTGAGGCAGTTGATGCTGTATTTTATCTAACACTAGATTGTGTTAGAGTTGTTTCATTCATTACAAGTAGGATTTTCAAGAAAACAGGGGTAAGTGTGCTTTAAATATGGCTCCTTTTGAAAGGCTACATTATAGTCATTTAAAGATTATTTATGCTGTAAGTAATCAGACCTCAAATCTTTCTCTTCCTATCTATGAATATGTTCCTTGAATACCTTGGACCTCAGTTTGCTTCCTTCTCTGGCATAATCAGCATAGATCTCATTTATTGCAGATTATTAATAGAAACTGTGTGTGTATGTATGTGTGTGTGTGTGTGAGTGTGTGTGTATGTGTATGTGTGTGAGTGTGTGTGTGTGTGTGTGTGTGTGTGTGTGTGTGAGAGAGAGAGAGAGAGAGAGAGAGAGAGAGAGGAGAGAGAGAGAGAGAGAGAGAGAGAGAGAGAGAGAGAGAGAGAGAGAGAGAGAGAGAGAGAACAGGGAGAGGAACATGACAGAGAGGGGAAGAGAGACTGGGGAGGGAAGAATTGAGGGAGAGAGGGAGAGGGAGAGAAAGGGGGGCTGGACGCTAACTATGTCAGGTCCATGATAAATACTGAAGTTGTTTTCCTTATACACTAAGCAATATGCACACTAACAAAACTGGTTAAGAACAAATAGATTTAAAAGGGCCAGGCAACACATCAAAAATTAATTTTAAAGGCAAAGGAAGAGGTAGGGAGGACCTAAAAGACTTAAACAGAGCTCAAAGAATAGTAACACAAAAAACTGAAGACAGGATCACCACCAAGCCAATGAATCAAAAGTTGTCAGCCACTGGCCCAGACACTCTATTTATTTTACTTTTTAAACGGAATCTATGATTCTGGCACTAAAACAAGAACTCTGCATAGAACCAAACCAGCAGATATTCGAAGTTGGCAGAATTTTTGTTAGCAGTTTCAGTACCTTGATCATAAATTTCATTTAATTTTTTTTCTAGCTGTAGTGCTAACAGGATATAAAATACTCAAACATTAAATTTCCAGTTTTCTTGGAGTTTTGTAAACACATAGTAGACATTTCCACAGACATGTTGTAACAGGTATTTAATGGAATGCAGTTCTAGTCTGGAGCTTTTATTTACTGGAAGAGATAAATAAAATGTCGATTTCAAATTATCTGCATTAAAGTAAGAAAAGGGATTGCATGGCAAAAATTATTATATTAAAATTATAACTCATATTAAAATGTGGTGCTTCCTTTAAGTATAGTTCATTCCTAGACTTGGGTCAAAATCTAAGACTATAAAATGGATTAAAAATAACACAATAAAACTAGAAAAAAGTCATCAAAAGGTGATAGACGTTTTTTACTGCTAGTTAATTAGAAGTACAGTATTCTTTTCTGCAAATTTGGATGTTCTTAAATCTTAAATTATTTTTGACATTTTAAAAAAGTAAATCACAGTAAATATGGTTTGTACTGGAAAGACAAGGTATCATAACAGACCACATGTTTCCTTATTTTATAATACATGAATGTTAATACACAAAGTGACTGAATATTATTTGAATATCATTGTTACTAATTATTTCTTACCTTGTAGTATCAACATAGCAAATTATTTAAATGTATTTGAACAGCATAATTCTCATGTTTATCAGCTGTTTGGAATATTTTTTTCTCCAATGCAAGGCTTGGATTATTCTCAATTATGTGCATAAAGCTGCCAGCACCAAGCGCCTCAGTTCCTGGATACTGACTGTGGTATTAGTGTCACATATTATATACACAGATGGCCAAAGAATACGGAGGTATTTCATTTCCTGGGGTTCTTCTAAACTCTCCATGAAAGGTGATTGGAGGGGAATGTTAAAGATGGGACATTTTCTGTGGCTTTTTTTTTTTTTTTTTTTTTAGAGACAGGGTTTCTCTGTGTTGTTTTTGGTGCCTGTCCTGGATCTCACTCTGTAGACCAGGCTGGCCTCGAACTCACAGAGATCTGCCTGGCTCTGTCTCTTGAGTGCTAGGATTAAAGGAGTGTGCCACCACCGCCTGGCCATTTTCTGTGGCTTTAAGCAGTTTCTTTCAACTTTTAAAAATCTGTCCACTACGTTAACATTCTTATTAAAAGTTAAGCTGCATACAAAGTTCCATTTTCTTGCTTAAACAGGTTATAGAGTCTAAGGAGACTCTGTAGCTCGTCAGCATGGAGCAAGGGTCACCCAGACTTGGGAGGCCATTGTGTCACTAACTATGGCGGGAGACCACCACAGATTACCTAGGCTTTATCAATACCCATCACAGAAGACCAGGAAAGGTGTCTAGATCCTTTTCATGAATCTTTCCAACAAAGCTTTACTCATCTCAAGGTGGTGAGAAGCCAGCCTATCTGGCCTCCCAGGACTCCAGTTAGAGAACAAGGCAAAACTGTCCTGTTTCCTCTTTCATTTCAACATGGCTCCTATGCATCCCTATGATGCCCAAGGCACCAGCAAGAGAAATGAAGTCGGTGTGAAGACACTTGACCATGACACTGCCACAGTCTTTGTTGCCACCTTCCCCTGTCCAAGGTCATGAAGAAGGTTGGGCTTCTGCCTCACTCCTTTTCCTCCAACATTGACCATACTTACATCATTCTCATGCAGTAGCTGTAATATTAACATTCTTATGATCTGGTCCAGAAGTTCTGGCCCATGGTATCTTAGTGAAATCTTCTCTAGGATTTGCCTTCTGAGTATGGAGCATTAAATGGTGGTTCCCTTTTTTTCCTTCAGCTTTTTTCCTGTAATAGTGAAAACCTACCCTAAGGGAAAACATGTGCAGAGAAATAGAGAACAATAAATTAGATGAAAGGAATTTTTAAAAGAAACATACAAAATAATTTCAAAATCTGTACTCATGTTTTAGCCAGAACAGGACAGTCCATCATATATGCCAAGGTGAGAGGTCAGATGTGGCCTGTTGTGATTAATGGAGCATGGACTTAAATGTGTTTACCCATCATGAAGGCTTATAGAGGAGTATGAAAAACAGGAAAATTGTAACATAAGCTTAACTACCTGAAAATAGAAAAGGAGGAGAGTGAATATATGAGAGATGTTATACATGAAAGTTTGAAATTATGTCCTTGTATTCTGAACACCATTAGGAAAAATACTGGATTACGGTAACCATAAAATAGTTTTTAAAATGTAATATCCAACATATCTAGCAAAAAAGTGCACAAGTAAAAAATGGGATAAACCATTTTATTTTGTAAGTAAGTCTCAGTAAGGCATACAAATGGGATGAGTTCTTCCCAGAAAACCAAACCAATCAGGCAAACCTGTGACTACTTTGTAGTAGGTGCACACGAGGAGTAATTTCTTTCTTCTCCCTGAACCATTCCTTATTGTGTTTAGTGTTTTACAAATAATTTTGTGTGTTATCTTTAAGTAACACCATACTCAGGTGAAACTATGATAAATGTGAAAATTAACCCACACAACACATAAATGCAACTATTTTCCAGCTATGGAGAAGAGTGGTTGCCGATGTCGTGTCTTGTCACTGGGGGCGGTGGTGGGGAGCTGTCTTCAGCAGATGAAGGACAGTTGCCCTGTGCTGTTGAGAAAGGGAGAATTTCAAAATTTTGCATGAAGTCTTACACACATGTTCCAAATTAGAATGTGAGTTTCCTGGTTATGCTCACTCGGTGTCGCTGGGGCCGGTTATCTGGAGTGGACTATTTTTTTTTTAATTTATTTTAATTTATTTTGCAATACAATTCAGTTCTACATATCAGCCACGGATTCCCTTGTTCTCCCCCCTCCCGTCCCCCTCACCTTCCCCCCAACCCCCCCCCCCCATTCCCATCTCCTCCAGGGCAAAGCCTTCCCCACAGACTGAGGTCAACCTGGTAGACTCAGTCCAGGTAGGTCTAGTCCCCTCCTCCCAGGCCGAGCCAAACAATCCTGCATAGGCCCCAGGTTTCAAACAGCCAACTCATGCAATGAGCACAAGATCTGGTCCCACTGCCTGGATGCCTCCCAAACAGATCAAGCCAATCAACTGTCTCACCCATTCAGAGGGCCTGATCCAGTGGGGACCCCTCAGCCATTGGTTCATAGTTCATGTGTTTCCATTCATTTGGCTATTTGTCCCTGTGCTTTATCCAACCTTGGTCTCAACAATTCTCGCTCATATAAACCCTCCTCATTCTCACTAATTGGACTCCCAGAGATCCACCCGGGGCCTAGTCATGGATCTCTGCATCCAGATCCCTCAGTAGTTGGATGAGGTTTCTAGCACAGCAATTAGGGTGTTTGGCCATCCCATCACCAGAGTAGGTCAGTTTGGGCTGTCTCTCGACCATTGCCAGCAGTCTGTTGTGTGGGTATCTTTGTGGATTTCTGTGGGCCTCTCTAGCACTTTGCTTCTTCCTATTCTCATGTGGTCTTCATTTGCCATGGTCTCCTATTCCTTGTTCTCCCTCTCTGTTGTTGATCCAGCTGGGATCTCCCGCTCCCCCAAGCTCTCTTTCCCTCAACCCTTGCCTTTCATTACCCCCACTCATGACCAGGCTGTTCATGTAGATCTCATTCCATTTCTCTGTCATTGGGCGATCCCTGTGTCTTTCTTGGGGTCCTGTTTTTCAGGTAGCCTCCCTGGTGATGTGAGTAGCAGACAAGTCATCCTTGTTTCATGTCTAGTATCCTGCTATGAGTGAGTACATACCATGTTTGTCTTTCTGAGTCTGGGTTACCTCACTCAGGATGATTTTGGAGTGGAGTATTTTATAAAGAAAAGAAGTCGCTGTGGCCAGTTATCTGAAGTGGAGTATTTTATAAAGAACAGAAGTTGATGTAGTTGACAAATCGGGAGGTTCAAGAGCATGGCGCCACCATCTTGGGAAAGGCTGGCCTGTTTGTTTTACAGCATGGTAGAGAAACAAAAGCTAAATGGCCACATTCAGAAGAGACCAAATATGAGGAGTGGCCTTGTTTTATAACAACCTGCTCTTGCAAGAGCTAACTCATGCTGAGAGACCAGCACTAATCATATCCCAGGTGGTGCCTTCACCATCTGGTCCTGGTACACTAAGACCAAGCTTTGAAAGTTCTGCAATCTCAACAACACTATACTGGGGACCAAGGGTCCAGTGCATGAACCCATAGGTCGAAGTAATAGCACCCGAAAGCCCATTCTTCCATATTCAGCTTGGGACATTGGGGCTGAAATGCCTGCTGCTTTAGAATTGCTTCATTTTCAATAAGCTTTCATTGGACATGAGAGAAAGTCACAGAATGTAGCAGAAAGGATTGTCACATCCTATTTACCTGTACTGACTTCCTGTCCAATAGGAAGGCTG